AAGTCCAATTTGACTCACTTTTTTTGGGTTATTATTTGATTTATATACACATCAGAATTTTCACCATAAATATACAATAATTTTTGTTTACAAGAATATCGAACGATGAAACTAAAATAATGTATAATTAAAAAAAAAAAGAATTACTGCAAAAAAATGTGGTGAGATTGATAGATAGATAAATTTAGAATCTCGAATATATAAATTTTAAAATATTAAAGTGATACATATATAATATATTTAATCAAAAAATTACTGGTTCTACCGAATTCATAGCTCCGCCTTTGATAAGATGGAAAAATATCCCCCACCACCCCAAATTACCAAGCGATCACGGATTCAAGAGAATCTCACTTCCTCTCTAGTAAATTTGAATTAATCGAGCCAGTAATTTTCTAATATCAAATATATATAGACATATAAGAACAATTTGAAAACCATATACATACTCCTTTAATTAATTATTTCTTCATCCACCAGTAACACATGAAAACATTCTACGATGACTTCTAAATCTCACAAATTGTTTATCCTTCACCGGAATATTATCCTCCGGTAAAACTCCGCCGGAATATTGCACGTGGAGGGATTGTGTTCGTCTATGATGACGATTTTTTTTTGTCTGATTACCATCATTACTGTCAATCACCATCTTCTGGTCATCAATTGATGACATTTCGTAATTTTTACTAGTATTTTTTGGATAGAAATTTTCGATATCGTAAGTATTAGCAGCACCAAAAGAGAGACATTCATATTTTCGACGAGTTTTCGTTCTTTTAATGGTTTTGTATACTAATGGAATAAGTCCTTCCATGAAACTTTTTTTTTTTTTTGAAGGAGAAGAAGAAGAAGAAAAATGAGTTATTTGAAGACTTTTGGCTTAGCTAGTTTTGTTATATATGAGGGGTTAGGTGAGAATTTTCGAGTTTTATTTTTCTTTTTATACTTAAAAATATTCTGAGTTTTAAGATATAATCGTCAAATCTTTCTAAAACAGTTATTATAATAAAAGTATCAAAAATAAAATCAATATTGATTTCAAGTTAAAGGTCAATACAAAAAGGACTTTCTAGAGGGAAGATTTTCTATTTATTTATTTTGTAAAAAACAAACTTTTTAAAAAAGATTTTTCTTTTTTATTTTGTAAGAAAAACCTTTGGAGGTGGATTTTTTTCGCAAAATTTTATAAACATAAACCAACCTCTAGCGGGCGATTTATATTTTTGTCATTAAAAAAATTTATCGCTAAAAGTTGATTTTGTTAAAAATTATATTTTAAAAAATCAACATTTAAAATTGATTTTTTTCTGTCCCTTTTAGAGGTCAATTTTTGGTTGTGCTTTTAATCAGTAGAGTGTAATAATAACATTTCACTAAAATGCCAAATTCTTTTTGGAATTTACTTTATATATTATGTTATATTAACGATATGTTTTTAAATAATATTTTTCTATAAAAATCAAAAGATACTTATACAATACATTGATATATATAAATTTAATTGTATATATTATTAATAAAAAAAATTTATATCGTTAAGTCAGTCAAAATGTATCTGAATTTCTTTTTAAAATATAAAATATGTAATCATAAAATTAAGATAAATTATCTCCAATAATATATACGAATGTGTATGTATATATCTCTTTATTCTTTCATTATTTCAACATTGACTTGATCATATATCTTGCCCCCAATCATATCCTATTCTTGTATTTATTTATAATTTATTCTAGAGAAAAATGTGTATATGAAAATGACACTCAATTGAAAATTGACTTGTTCTTCAATATTTATTCTTTAAAATAAAAAGCACATTGATTTGGATGTGGCATTTATCATGACATAAAAGATTAGTGATGCAAGTTTTCTAGAAGATATTAAAAGGATAAAACTTTAGAATAATATTTTAACTAATATACATCGATAGTATAAAATTATTATACACATATCATTAGAAATTTAGTTATAAATAATTATTTATAATTAAGTAAATTTTGTGATCTATAAACACGATAAATAACTAGTTAAAACATATAAAAACAAATCAATAATGTTAACTTTTTAAAATGAGAGAAGGAAAAGGAAAGTTTAACAACTTTAATTTTAGAATTTTGATTATTATTATTATTATTATTTGATGGAATATTTCTTCTTGATTAATTATTTATTTTATTATTATTAAATGATAAATAACACGAATTTTTTTTCCTTTTATTGACTTAGTTTTAGCTTATGTGTATCCTCATCCAATTTGCCTTGTGATAGATTACGTGTTTACCAACTACCTAAAACCTTGTTTAGTTTAATTAAGAAATCTCCTAATTGTGATCTTTCTTTGCTATATCTCAACATTGTATGTAGTTTTCATAGCTTAATTAACACTAAACATAACCTATTTAGTTATAAATATTCACATTTGGTGTATGTCTATAAATACACAATTTTCGTGATTTTTTTTGAGTTGGTGAAATTAACGCTATGTTTGGATTATTATCATCTATTGTATTGTATTGTATTGTTACTATACCTACAATATTTGTTATAATTGTTATTTAAAATGTATTGTATTGTATTATTAAATTTCGTTGTTACGTAACAATGAAAATTCCTATTTTATGAAACAACCAATGTGGTGTGTTCCCATTGTTACTTAATTACTTTTTTCAATTATATCTTTACATAATATTTCAAAATACTATTTTACCCTTTAATTTAATTATTTAAATCTAGTCAAACCTCCTAACCTAGAATAATTAAGGATATTTAAGTAAATTTATAAATTACAATACAGTACGATACAATTAAACCAAACAATTTAAATGTTACTAAACAATAACAAACAATACAATCTAACCAAATATTGTATCTACCATACAATATACATTATGAAACAATGAGTAACAATGATCCAAACAAAGTGTAAAGTACAAAAAAAAGAGAAAAATTTAAATCCTCGATAAACAAAAATTAGATTTTAGATTGTTAGATTAGTTAGTGATTAGATATTAGTATTAGACGAGATTTTACGAATTTTTTTTATTTCTTTATATTTATAAGAGAGGACAAATCAATTAATTTCTCAGTCGCTCTAGTCGGGTGGGCGCCAGCCGGTTTTTCGACCAGATCCCTCTAAAAATCGTACGTGCGGGTCTCCCGCATGCGGCTCACGCCATTCGAGGTGGCCCAGCCCAGGATTCTTTCGCAAATCCTGTAGTGAAATTGAGACTGATCAACCTCGGTATAATTATTCTGAGTTTACATTTTGAATCGTCTATCTCTTCTATAAAATGATTATGATTTAAAAGTTGAGTTATTAGAACATCAATTAGACAAATTCATTCTAAATACGTAATTAGATGAATAAAATATATTGTATTTTCTTTGCTAAGAGTCAAATAGTGGGAGTTCTAGTTTTATTTTTTCTTTTTTTTTTTGGTATTTCAATTTCTAAATTACCTAATCCACTTTTGCCATATAAAAGAGTGATAATAACAGTTACTATAAGTTAATTATGTACTAATTAATTAGTACTTTATATATAAAAAATTAACTCTTTTAAAGATATTTTATAAGTTCTTAGAGCATTTTGTGAAGATATCTCTACTAACTTCTTATGTCTAACGAGATTCAAAATTATGTAAACTTAAAATGATAATTTATAAGTTGATTTTATCTTATTTATTTTTATAGATAAGTTAAATTGACTTTTCAAATATAAAAATAATAGAATAATTGAATTTTAACGTATTCTTTTATTTTATTTTTTGTATTAAAGACTTTTTATTACAATTTATTTTTAAGAGATATACCTAGATAAGTTTGTTGAAACGTCAAATCATACATATAATTTATAAATGCTACTATTTGATATATGTTCAGTATATGAACATATATCAAACATTCCAAAGTTTGAACTCAAAACTTTTAGTTAAAATGAAACGATATTTAACGATTGCTTTACTTATAGTACTTCTCCAAGTTTTTAAATTTGTAAATTTTATTCAAAAACACTAAAAAATATGTCCAAATTCATAGATATTTTGATCCTTATATTATGAATCCCTTCGCGTAAAATACTAAAATAAGATAGAGGGAGTAACTTTTTTGGTAAAAAATAGATGTTATACATTATTTTTAACACCAAAAAACATAGATATTCAAATCAAATATATTTTTTTTCCTTTTTTTAAAAAAAAATATCTTTGCCAATTTTCAATCCTAATATTCCAAATGTTTCTAATAGCATTAATTTTCTAATACAATCATTATAGAGTCAACTTGCTGACAATAATTGTATAGTGTATACTGTATACACAATTTGAAACTGTTAAATATTTCTATAATGAATCCCTTTTTTTAATTCATTTGCATAATCAATAAAATGGTAGAAGAAATCAAGAAAATCATCATTGATACTGACCCTGGAATTGGTAATTTTGCTTTTATTACAACTATTTCTCGTAGTTTTTTGTTCTTCGATTTTGATTATTACCTGTGTTTTTTGTGCTTTGATTGTCACATTATTTCGTTGTCATTGCTATTCTTTCTTTCTTATGTTGTGTACTTGCTCCCATGTCACACGTCTAATCGTGGTTACCACTCTACGAGTTAGATAAGATCTGTGTACATTCTATCCTCGTCATATTACACTATGGTATCTTCGTGTTTTTGTTTCTTCATAGTAAGAGCATTTCAAGATTTCATTTTTTTTTTGTGATTACCAATTCAACTGTTGAGTTATTTGAGATTTTATATGAATTAATATCATGTTTAGATGATGCAATCGCGATTTTCGTGGCACTTCAATCTCCTGAAATTGAAGTAATTGGACTCACAACAATATTTGGTAATGTTCAGACAACTCTGTCAACCAGAAATGCTTTACATCTGGTAAAGTTCTATCTTTATTTCATTATTGGACACGGAGTTTAAGAAAGAACGACTTTCCATACATAGTAAATGACTAGAAATATCACTCATGATAATATGTGATGTTCAGTTTTCAAATATAGAAATGTGTCGTTCTTTTTAGAACAGACTAAAAAGGAAAGGGTAACATATAAAATGAAAAACGTACGTTTAGTTCTTTTGCCATGAGCATGAATGTTGATTTTTCGAGTTTTGATGATTTAGTTGGAGATAGCTGGGAGGACAGATATTCCAGTGGCTGAAGGCTCACACGTTACGATCACTGTATGTTCAGTTCTCTGTCTTATTGCTCATCCATATTACAATACAAACAAATTGATACGGAGGGAGTATAAGATTTACAGAACGAAATGAACACTTTGTAATGTTTACAGTATTTCTGATTGTGTACCTTTGCTCATTCAGCATATTTAGACCTAGCTTAGAAATTTTTCCCCCGCGGACTCTGTTTATGTTCATGTAAAGGAAGGCGTAAAACTTCAAAGTAGTGGATATGTTCATGGCGCGGATGGACTCGGAAACCAAAACATTTCTCCACCCAAAGGAAAGGCTATTGAACAGACTGCAGCTGAATTTCTCATTCAGCAAACTAGTCTTTACCCTGGAAAGGTCACTGTTGTGGCCTTAGGCCCCCTGACAAATATAGCACTTGTAAGTACGAGATAATGGTCAATAACGCACTTGAAGTATTACTTGTTTGCGAGTTTCCTACCTGATATATGTATATATATGAACAGGCTATTCAGTTGGATCCTGAATTTTTCAAAAACGTTGGTCAAGTTGTTGTTCTTGGTGGTGCTTTTGCTGTAAATGGAAATGTGAGTCCAGCAGCTGAGGCAAATGTAAGTTGCTAATAGCTACATTCTTTATATGTGCTTCAACTTCTAAGACTTTTTTTTTTATTCTTCGTTTGCGCAAGATCTTCAAAGATCCAACTGCTGCTGATATTGTATTTACAAGTGGTGCTGATGTTCTTGCTGTTGGATTAAATATTACACATCAAGTTGTCCTTACTGGTAATCTTTTCTTTGTTTCTTAAGTTTCATTTCAAGCCACTGTCTCCGTTGTTATTTTAAGAAGAATGTGCTATCGAATAATAGAAACAAATACTAAGAGAGTAGTGTAGAGGAGGCGCGAGAGTTTGGCTATAGCAAGTTTTAGCAGATGTTGAGGTATAGGCCAAAGAAGAACGGGAGGATGTGATTAGACAGGACATGACTAGTTTTCAACTCACTGAGGACATGATCCTAGATAGAAAAGTATGGAGATCAAGGATTAAGGTAGAAAGGTAGTAATCCTATCTACACATAAGTATCTTATTCTCTATTTTTTACTACTACCTGTTACTTCATTTGCTTTGTTTATCTTGTTATTTTGCGGTCTTAGCTCCTAGGGTCCTGTTTTAGTTAACTTCTCTTAATAGCATCTATCTACTGTTGTTAGATTCTCATCGTGGCGAATTGGCAAAGTCCAATGGAAAGTTTGCCAAGTACCTCAGCAAGCTTTTGGATGTCTATTTCGATTATCACAATACTGCATACAGCACGAGAGGTCTGTCTGTCACGTGCAAAGTTAGCTGTTTCCATATTTCTCGTTTGGTTTCTACTCACTTTCTTTATGTAACTGGAATCGGGGCTCTATGTAGGTGTCTTCCTTCATGATCCAACTGCTTTACTTGCTGCTGTTAATCCATCACTCCTCACCTATTCAGAAGGTGTCGTTCGCGTTCAGACAGTTGGCATCACAAAGGGTCTCACAATCTTTTATAACAAACAGAAAAGGTATTTGGTTCATAATGCCTTAATATAAGTGTTATATTGTTGCTATATTATCCCTATAACTACATACTTCATCTGCTTTTGGTTTTACAAGGTTTGTTGAAGTCACTGAATGGTCTGAAAAACCTATAGTTAAAGTGGCAGCAACTGTTGATGCTCCTAAAGTTATCGAATTGGTGATGACACGACTCGTCAATTCTTAGAAGTATTCATTGAACATTTATTTGAACAGTGTTACTGTCTTTCTGCACTCAATATTCAGAAACTTAACTACGCTATAAGGAACGGAATCTTAAACTATAGACCAAGTACTACTCTCAGGAACAAGGATGAATGTATGTAAGCAGTAAGCAGCTCATATACAGAATATGAACTTGCAAAAATAAGTTACAGCTAGACTAGTCGTGTTCTGATAGATTTAATCTTTGTGTAAAGATATGACATTTGAGCCTAACTCAACTCTAAAAGGTACCTCACGAGAGGAGGATTGCTCAAATCCAATCTAACACCCCCTTCACATCCAGGCCCAACTGGAATGTGGATCGGGAGCTCAAATAGGGATAGACCTGGCTATGATACTATGTAAAAATATGACATTTGGGTCTAACTCAACCCCAAAATCGAGTTCATGAAGGGAGTCATGTGATAATGCAAATAAATTTCCTATGAGAAGCTCCATACATTTACATATGATAGAACTATTGATAATATATTCAATTTCTGTTAGTATACACAAAAAAACTAAGATGAAGCTAGAGGGAAGATTCTTTGTACATTTGTGTGACTTTACTTAAATCCCTCAGGTTTTGCTTCATAAACACGACGGAAACCTAGTGAAGAAACATAACAAAAGCCACAGATTTCCTGAAAGATCTTTGCTTTGACAAACATAAACAGGAAAAACAAAAGAGACTCAATCCGCCGATTCAACTATATCAACTCCAACTGGATTGACAGTGTCTCTAAGACCCTGCCATCAATACTGCAAAAAAAGAGCACATTTCCACTTCTCCATTTGGAAATGCTCACATAAGTAGCCACTCGAGACCACATACACTCGTTATGCTGTTTTAATTGCAACTGGCTTACCTCGACCCATGGAGAAGCCCCTGGTGCCATCTGGCATGCGAGGCACAGAAGTTTGCTTGACTGGTGCTGACTGATCAGAAAGCATTGAGGGTTGCCCTGCTAGACTAAAACGATTGATGCTTGATAGTGCACTTCCCACACTGTATGCACGCCTCATACTTGCCGGGGGAGTACTTAAATGACCTCCACGACTGGTTTGATGAAACTGAGGACGTCCACGTCCCTGACCAAGTCCCTTAACCCAACTGCGATTGAGTCCTTTCCTCTGCCCATCAACATGCTCCTCCTATCATATAAAACACAAATATATACACTCAGAATCATTCACTACATTACATATTCATTTTTTGAAAGATAACAACACTTACTGCAAGGTCATTGAGGTGAGCATCAAGGTGGTGCCACAGGTCGTCACTGTGTTTCTCGCTAGCCTCTGATGAAGTATCGTCTTCCTTGAAGCTGACCTCACTCTCGTAACCAATTTTCTTCCCTCGAGTTTGACCAGATTTTCCCTGTGAGTTCAACCAAAATCTATAAATGCTTAATCGACAAGAATTCAAGATCCAAAATGGAACCAGAAGCTCTAATTCCCGAGTTCCAAAGGCTGCAGTTGGTCCTAAGATTTGGCCCCAGACGAATTTTTCAGTCATAAAAGAAAGATACACCTTTACATTGACTATCAAGATAGTATATGTCCAACACATACCGTCCACCTGTTCAGTATACGGACTTTCAGACCATTTCGCCAGTTATCCTCATCATTTAGCTCCATAACCTACAAAATAAGATTGCGAAAGGTTAAAGGATGCAACAGAGAGATGATCCGGGTATCATATTGAACAAGCTTTAATTTACTTACCGCCTTCTCAGCCAATTCAATGCTTTCGTATTCCACAAATGCATGCAACTGCATTTAGGTTTTTCAGTTCAGATTCTAGAAATGAAAAATGATACTCGAAAGATTAAGATAGACAATGAAAAGCTACTCCACTCTACTACTGTGCTTCCAAAAAACAGCACTCCCACCGTTTCAATTAGTTTTTCTGGTTTTGACTTGGGACGGAATTTTAGAAAGTAAGAAGACTTCTCAATCTTGCGATCTAAAACTAAAGATACGTAGAATATACTAACATGTCCTTTAATCCAATGATCTTAAACATGCCACGTGGAAAGTTGAAATTAAGGAGTTGTCAAAAAAAAGAACGAGTCAATAGTCTGAAACGGACTAAAAAGGAAAGCAAGACATATAAATTGAAATTTTATCCTATTTTGGTTTCTTATTTTCCATTTAGAAGCATGCATTATCAAGCTAAACTCAACAGATTTTTTACAACTTCAACTTGAGATTCATCATTTCGTATATATGTTTGATGTGCACCTTGTTACTATACAATGTGGTATCTGATTTTCCAGTTCTAGACGCTGCAGAGGCCCCGCCGTTTAACTGTGGTTGGCATGTACGAATCATTCTTACACTGACAGAATCAATTACGAAATGGTCAGTCTAACGATAACTGTTGATTTGTTTCTAAAAGCAAATTTCCATAAACTATCTTGTTTATACCTTCCAACAGCTGAGAAAATCTTCATGAGGTTCTGGTGGCAGTGATCATCGGGTAAATTCTCAGCAACCACAATGCGAGACTAAAAGAGACAGAATCAAAGTGTTAAAAATGACAACCAGACAACGGAAATACAATGAGAGCAGCGGTGATCCTGGCAGAACCATGGTCAAGAAAGGGGGTTCAATTGAATTATACTGCGGAAATAGGAAAAAGGTAATTTTTTTTCATATATATAAACTTCTGAATCCCCTTGACATAAGGGTAATAGTTCGGATCTTTTGAATCCCCTTTGTTCAAAATCCTGGCTCCGACACTGAATGGGAATATTCACAAACTCGTGATTAAACTGTCCTTGTTCTAACAGATCGATACATCATAACTGCACTGCTCAAGACAGAAAGTGAAACACTAGCCATATAAAAACGAACTTACTTGCAGCTCTTCCAAGTCCTTTTCAGACAGCGGAAATTGGCGTCTAACCTTTCTTCCATCTTCACTAACCACCTAAAAACAGAGAAATCAATTACATAAGTATGTAAAAGGACTAATTGTGGAAACAAGTGTATTACAGGTAGCACAAGTATTTCACACAGAGTGAGTGACAGGGTTCAACATCTACTATATATATATAACGAAAAATTTGACCTTGTATTATACAATACAATTTTTCGGCAAAGGAGGTTCAGATGAAACCCCTTCCGTCCCTGATGGGGATGATAGATGTGAGGGGCGGAAATGAGGAAAAACTCACAAGCTTTGTGGAGCACTGCAGGATTTTTGCAACGTAGGCATGATTACTCGTAAGAGCTTTAATCTTCTTGAATGATGCAACCACAGACATTGGTACTACAACATCAAAAAGAACCAAAAGATTCATCAGATGAAAAATTTTAACTTTTGAAATACCAATAAAGACAAGATTATTATATTTTTCTAACAATCTTACCATATCCTTCTGGATCCTTGAACATAATCCTTATTAGATGATCAGTTGTAGCCAAATTTATATCACTAAAATAAAATTCCACCTGCACATAATATAACAAAGAAAAAAAATTGAAGTTTTTCTATTTGGAACATTACTTCAAATGGATTATTCTTAATCCAATTTCCAATACCATTTTCAACTTTTTTTTCCAAATTTCACCGTTGGCGTAATACATAAATATATCTTTTAACTTCGTTTCAGCTAACATCTACGCCCTCCAGCTTTCAGTGAGCACAAGTAGGCCTTTTACACACACCTCCTACATAGCATATTACACATAGCACGTCACACCATACAGGACGCATGTGTTTACTTAGCTTGTTCAATTTTGTAAATATTTGAGTGTCTACTTGTGTACACCCAAAGCTGGAGGATGCATTGATGTATTATGATCCAAGTGCGATTAGTCATATATACAAGGGAAAAAGGACAAATATACCCCGAATTATCGTAAATGGTAAGCAGATACCCTTCGTCATACTTTAGAAACATTGGTGCTCTTACCGTCAAAAAACGAGAGCACATATACCCTTTATACTAATGGGCATACACGTGTCATAACCTTATCCATTGAACCGACATCGGATCAATGGATAAAATTGTGTCACGTATCCCTATTTAGTCTTCTGCTAAAGTGAAGGGCAGACATATATGCTCTAGTTTATGGACAGCAGGAGCACCAATGTACTAAAAGTATGACGGAGAATATCTACATACCATTTATAATAGTTCGAGGTTATATTTACAGAGAGATTTATGCTTACCTGATTAATAATTTTTTGACAAGCTTCATCACTTAACCGTTCAGAATCGGCACCAATAACCACCACCGCCGGCATACCGCCATGATCGACGAATCCTCTTCCGATTCCGCCAGCGTAAGGATATTGCACAGGCAATTGAGACGCATATATATAATTCTGTACAGGAACATGCGTAGTTATCTGATGAAATGCAGCAGATGGTGTTGCAATCAGATGCAACACCGTCTGTCCATTAACGGGCCCTGATCCAGGCCCGATCCTACTCTCGGGCCGATTTAAATTGGCCCGGGAGGAATTAGGATGTGACATCGTCGCCAATGAAGGCGAAGAAGATGATTTAGCCAACATAGCTGATGATAATGATGGAGAAGACGAACTTCGTGGGATAAACGCAATGGCACGAGCGTTTAGTTTGGTTAATGAAGGTGATAATGGTGAAGAAGACGTAGATTCAAATGGATGATCAAGATCAAGTGAAGCTGATGAAGATGTAGCTGTTGAATTCAATGAATCGAGGAATAATGTATCATGTTCTATAGCCATAACAATGCAAAAATGATGTAATTTTCTTTTTTTTTTTTGATGTATAGAGATATCAATTACTATATTTTTTTTTCGAGATCGACTGTTTTTTTGATTAATTAATGTTATTGTTTTTTGCTTTTTTTTCTTATTTTCTTCTTCGTATCGTTTCGTTTTTTCTCTTTCCCCCTAATGTAGCGACGGGGGAAAGAGGAAAGGAAAAAAAAAGGGAGATCCAATGGAAGTAAAATTCAAAAATGGTGAGGGAAGAAAATGGAGAAGAGTTCTCGTTCTGAGTTTGTTATTACAATTAACTATTTATACTTTTTTTTTTAATTTCATTGATTTTATTTTAATTTTTTTAAAATTATTTGGACATGTGGAAGAAAGAGGAATAAAAAAACGGGTGAATTAGATCATTTAATCGGATTACCGTTCAATAAAGAATTGGTTTGCATGCATGGGAGCTTGGAATATTTATTTTTGAGGTTATATGGTTTAAAAATTAAGTTATGCAAAATTTAATAACCAAAAAGACCATTTGGTCAAATTAATTAAAAAAAAATAAAGAAAAGGATATTTTGTACCGCAAAAGAAAAAAAAATATTTACAAGCGGTTACCTCATATTTTCATACCTCGATCTCATTTTTTAACTACAAAAATGTGTGAAAATACTATTCATGTTCAGTTTAATCACTTTTTCTCAATTTTTTTTTCGGTCTATCTTTACTTCTTCCCGTGCCTACTAGATCCAATCCCTCACACCTTCTCATAGGAGCGTATGCACATTTCCATTTTAACATGTCTAAAGTATTCACAATCTTGTATCTTTTGCATCTTGTTTGTCATTGAAGTCATTCCTATCTTTTTCGCGGATAAAAGAACTATACAAATTGGATCCAATAGGCAAAATATTTACCTAAACCTAACATAATATATTATCCTATTGAACTCAGGACCAAACTATTTACTCGACTACCCCTGTTCTATTTATTGAACCACTGAATGTTCATTTTTGATATCAGTATACTTATAATATTTATACATTCTAATGGTATCTATATATTTTGGTGATATCAAGTAGTAATTGAACATTTTTTCTGAAATATGGTTTATTCCTCCTTGATGTCATCTGAGTGTGAGCGTGTGTGTGTGTGTATATATATATATATTAAGTAGAAATTAGCACAACTTCGTATTACTTAAGATCTGACCTTAGATATGACAGACGTGGAGGGTCGCGTATTAGGGTAAAATATTAGTAGGTGATGGGGTGTTGCTTTGTTTTAGTAGTTAATGGTTTTGTTGTTTGCCGTATTAGTCATATTCTTGTTAGTTTTAGTTTTTGATATTTACCCTCATATGTGTATTATGTTTGCTATTGCAGTATTATTTTGTTGTTGTTCATAACTTTTTTCTTGTAAGCTTCGCTGCCTCTCCAATTAGTTGTTATGTTTTGTCACTATTTTCATCTTCTTTATACATAAAATTATTGTACTTGAGTCATGAGTCTATTAGAAACGACCACTCACGAGAGGTCTTAGGGTCACAACAACTACTAATTTATATGGTGGAATTGTTAGTTAACATAGACCAAAGCCATCCATTCCTTAAATTTTAAGGACTAAGAGTGTATGAAAAGTAATACTTTGAATGATATTAGTCATACTCCAAAACTTAAGGGACTATTTTGTTAAAATCTCCATTGTTATCCATCATATTTTAATCTTAAACAAGAACCCTTTCTTCTTCTACCTTCACGCCCCTCAAAAAGATCAAAAAAGTTAGAACTCAAAGAACAAGTAACATTGATTTCTACACAATAATTTGTCTCTTTTTGTCTATTTGATCATCGCTGAGGACTCACCGATCCATTAATTTCGTATTTTCATATTGTTTTTTTCAGCTTATAAGGAGATCAATTACGAATAATCTAAAGGGTCTTTGCATATAGAGATGCAAAAGACCTCATTTTTGTTGTAAATTTTTTATTTTTTTGTTGTGGGGTTGTTCAATTTCGTATTTTTTTTTTGTGGGTTTTGAATTTGGGAGATGGGAAATATATTTGTGAAGAAACCGAAGATCACCGAAGTTGATAGAGCGATTTTGTCTTTGAAGACTCAAAGGCGTAAGCTTGCTCAATATCAGCAACAGGTATAAGGAATTTTATTTTTGCCCCTTTTTGAAAATTTTGACTGCAGTTCTCTTTTTGGTGGGCTAAACTAAAATTGCTTAGTTTAGTTAAGATGGATCATGGGTAGTTTTTGGATTTTTTTTTCTGGGATTGGTTATTGTGGAGGATTATTAGGTGAAATTATGAAATTTGACAGCAAGATGGCTTTTTGGGTGTTTATTGCAATGCACAATTATAGCTCAACAATGATGTTAATACTAGATTTATAATGTTGAGATTGAGTTGTAGAACTATGTGTTTTTTCTTGAGTCTTTTAGCAATAACTATGTTTAGGAAGAATTAGTTCTCTATGTTGGTATTTGAGCCGAGGGTCAACCTCCCTACCTCCAAGGTTTCCTACCTCCAAGGTTGCTGGTAGGGGTAAGGTCTTCGTAGACTTTACCTTCACAGACTCTACTTTGTGGGATTACACGGGTGTGTTGTTGTTGTTATTATATGGCATGCGATGAGTTTAAGTGGAGTAAGATGATTAGTGAGGGTTATATAGCGGATCCCAACTTGTTTTTGTACTGAGGCATTGTTGTTATTGGTTCTTCCTTGACCATAACGTGATGCTTAGAGGAGCTGTGTATCAAAGTCTCTATATTTCTGAATGAATCGACCAGCTCTTCCAATTTGAGAAACAATAGCAACTGAACTTGGCAGTACCTAGAATATTTGTAAATTTTACAATACACATTACATATCCGTCATCTCAGTGGTCATTATGTAGGGGAGGAAGAGATGTCGACAGCTTGTTCTTACTTTCAACACATAAAAGATCTACTAGACGGTGGTTCTGATTTGAAAAAAAAAAATGTACGTTTCATACAAAGGTTTTCATTTTCTGTAGAAGTTTGAGTAAATACTGCTTCATATGATGCTGATGATAAGAAAAAGTGAGTCTTTGATGGAGCTTTTGTCTTCTGTAATTGCCATCCAAGGAAACAATAGTCAACTCTATTCCTGGATGAAAGAAATGACCTAATAGAGAGCTTTCGTTTCCTTTCTCCGAGTCAGAAAAGAGAATCTGTGAATTGTCTAAATCTTCAAAACCATATAGCCTAGATATAAGTTGACCTACCAATTCTACTTCTGAGCAATTACCTTCTATACAAGACCTCAAGTCTCAGCATCAACCATTACTTGAAATAATAGCACTTTGTTGCTTATATCATATTTTCTGTTAAAAATGAACCAAAAAAAAAAAGAAGGGGCATTCTCAGTTTCATTGCAACTGGACACGCAGCTAATTTTAATAGTTCGGGGAAGTTCTACAGGAGAGTGACCCATACCTTGATTATGCAGTTAGTCAGAATGCTAACAATCCCAACAAAATTGAAAAGTAATAAAAGAAAGAAAAACCCAAAATTGGGTAGAAGTTGGTTTTACATGAAGTAGGGGAAGTTTTTTGGAATTCTATTAAACGGTGCAACTGAGATTGTCCACAATAAGAACTTAAAGGTCCTCTCCTCTTTTTTTGGTGCCAAGGGCTCCACGTAGGACTGATTTGCAAGCTTTCCTCAATGTTGGTTTCAGACCTGCTAATCCCTTCTGTTATTCTTTGTTTCAGCTGGATGCTGTTATTGAAGCCGAAAAACAAGCTGCAAAAGACTTGCTACGCGAAAAGAAGAAAGAGAGGGCCCTTTTAGCATTGAAAAAGAAGAAAGTGCAAGAAGAACTATTAAAGCAAGTTGATGTTTGGCTCATAAATGTTGAGCAGCAAGTAAGTAATTCTTCTTAATTCAGTTCCATACTTATGCTACCATGCTAAATTTCCTTATTTCTCTTAAGCATATGCTACCATGCTAAATTTCCTTATTTCTCTTAAGCATTTAAATTGTTTTCTGATTCTATTTGCAAATTCTTTTAGTTGGCAGATATTGAACTGACAAGCAAGCAAAAGGCTGTCTTTGAGAGTTTGAAAACTGGGAATAATGCAATCAAAGCAATACAAGGTGAGATCAATCTAGAGGATGTTCAAAAGTTAATGGATGATACTGCAGAGGCAAAAGCTTATCAAGACGTAAGTTTTTTTGTATCTCATTCCCTGTTCACTTATATTTGGTAGTGTCTACTCAGTCTTGTGAAAATTGGGAGTTCATTCATACTTGATAATGATAGTAGTTTTGATGTACCACCGGAAGAGAGATGAGAGAAAGGTCAGGGGGAGAAATGAGAAAGGGGAGAAGAAAGAAATTTAACAGGAAAGAGATTATAGCAAGGGGGATGGGACAAAGACGGACAGACCAGGGAAAGAAAGGATGAGTGGAGGGAGAGAATTTTAAGAGGAGATATTATAATAGGGTAGAATTCATTTATATATTAAAGAAGTATTAAAGGTATCCTACTTAAGAGTCTCAAACAATCTAATACTTTTGATATGATTAAGGCTCTATATGTATCTAGACAAATAAAAACCAAGCTAAGTCTAGTTGATAACAGTTGGTGATGGAGAGAGAGATTGGAGATAAAATCTGAATATAAAAGATCTAACCTAATCTGAAAAGATGTTAGTTGTTGAGAATCTCGTGTTTTGGTTGAGATTCTCCACTTTTTTGCTTCTATCTTGTGTAAGGGGTTCCCCCCTAGTTTCATGTTAATGAAATCATCACCTTAAACAACCACAATAACTATGTCTCTATCCGAAGGTAGTTAAATTTCTGTATGAATCCAGAATCCTCTTTACATTTGTCGTTGACCTTTATCAATATTTTATTTTTATTTTTTAAAAAAAACTTAGGTTCACTAGAACTAGAAATTCTCTACATTTTTCGGCAAACAAATCTCTAAAAAGACTAAAAAACTCATAACAATCGTTATTCCTAATGTAAACATATACCAACATGATCAAACTTTTATCCCAACTAGTTAATTTTGTCTTAATGATTCCTTTTCTCTTCACTGTGCTCTGGTTTGCACCAAGTCTGCATTGATTCCAAGAGATTGTAGGTCTTGTTACACTTCTTTCCATATGATTTTAAATCTATCTCGTCCCCTTGTATTACCTTCAATCACCATGGTTATACACCTACATAGTGCAGTGAATAGTCTCTTCTTAGTGTTGCTATCATCAGTTCTTTTTTCTTGAATTTCAGTTAATATTTCTGCCTGGGTGTCACTGCTGCCACTTGGGTTAGCCAACTGTTGCAGTGATCTATTTAACTCTTAATTTTGCTGTTATATCCTAGTAGCTGCTATCTGATTATTTCCTGTATCATACCGGACAAATCCTGTTTCCTTGCCTGGATTCAATGTGTAAAAATCTCTTGAATCAGTGAGAATTCACTACCACCCAATAGTCATGGACCTCCTCCATGTTTAGCAGAGTTTTCCTGTGCCTGACACACGTCATTTCCAGCTAAGGATATTCGCTTTGCATAACCTCTTATTCTTTTCATATAATGGAACTGTCGAACCTCAATCTATTTCCCAAAATGATTTTCTTTCCATCAGGAAGAAAGTTTCTTGATATTATCACTGTAATCGCTCTTACCTATGTATTGTATATTCCTAGTGTTTCTGGTTGAGGAACGGGTATTAATATTCGAGGATAGATTAACTTGAAGAAAAAACATCCTGTATAACTCTACCTATGCTTGAGGTGGCCCCAAGGAATTGCTCCCAATTAGATTCTGCCACTAGGCATTTTGTCCACCGAGCTCCCTTTGACTAACCTTTTTGCACTGTGTTGAACTAGTTCACAAAACTATTCTGCAAAAAAAGTAATTACGTGGAGAAAGGAATCAATATTGATGTATTTTAGTCTTTGAGCAAATAATTTGACTAGGTATTATGAGAGATCAGCTTGACAGAGAAGAGCGCTCCTCTTCTTTTTTTTTTGCGTGACTGCTCGTATCCGTTTGCAGGAAGTCAATGCTATTCTTGGAGAGAAGCTATCTGCTGAAGATGAAGAGGAAGTTCTAGCAGAATTTGAGAATCTGGAATCTCAGGTCTGTCCATTTTTTATGTAGTCAATTGGTGCTAAAACTTGGTCCATTTCTTAGTGACTAAATGCTCTTTCTGTTAATGACACCATAACTCCGTTGCTGTGGCTATTTCTGGTTAAACTACTAATTACCTTAATTTTTCCCACCGCATATAACCATATTTTGTCTACTTATTTTGGGGGTATACTTCCCTTTCTTGATTGAGAGATAATCAACTGCACTAAAGGATCACCTTCGCTATAGCACGACAACAACATTATGGAGTTCTAGTTTTTAGTTTTTAGTAATGCTTTCTCCTATTTGAAAGAAGCAAAAACTTTGCAACTATTGAATACGACACTGTTATAATTCGACCCAGAGGTCTAGATGCCTTTGGAACCTTGAAAGTTATTGTTTTCCCATCCCTTGATATAATGATGACTGTGCACAGAATTTAAGAAAGAGAAGAAGACTTGTGAATCGTGTGTTGTATCCTTTTCTAAAGAATCTCATATATTTTACCTGACGGTGGAAAATTTGCACAGTTAACACTTCAAGATCTGCCAGAAGTTCCTTCTGCAATACCTTCTGGTGAAAACGTTGAAGAGAAACTGGATCTACCTGACGTACCAACTAAAGCACCAGTCGTTTCAGAAGCTGTTATCGAGGACACTCAAGATACTTCAACTGCCGTGTCTGTGCAAAAGAAAGGTTACCATTTTTTCTCTCTTACCCTCGCGCTCACCCTCACTCTTTTCTGAATTATCTATTTTTCTGAGTTTTTGTTCAAAATTTGCACAGTTTTGGAGGAACCAATACCTGCTTGATCCCAACGCAACGTGGTTTATTCATAAAGTTCGAATGGAATTTATCAAAACGAGTATCGAGTTTCAGAATGCTATACAAGTCTTCTCGATGCTAAGAATTTGTTATCTTTCGACGTTTCTGTCTCATCTCCTGTAATTTGTGCAGATTGTGGTTGTAATTCTGGGGACCAGATTTGTACAGTGCTTTCATACTCATATCCTACTAGTTTCTTCTAATTCTGCTACTACTTTTGTTGCATTATGCAAAAAAGAAAGCTTACTGTTCTTGTTTCTCTTAACATTCTTGTAAACTCACATTTTAGATTTGTCCAAATGAGCCACATTACAACTAATGCCTATTAACCATCATATTATACTAGCAGCGGAAAGCTCTAAACTTCAAAATTGAATTATCATTTTCTTCTATGTTAAATTATAATCTAATTAAATAGTAAATTTAATTGAATCTCTTAGTTAGTTATATCATTGCAAATTCCCTAACTTTTTATCAATTAATGCAAATTTTATTCACCTATAACTTTCTTACTCCAAAAAGTCTGAAGAAATTGAAGAGTACATTTCAAATTCATTTAGATAGTGAAAAGTCTATATGGTCGACTTCTAGCCTTTTATTCTCTATCACTCTCGACTGGTCCTATAGCTTGAAAGAATCTACAGGCTCCTTCGTGAAGTGATTCACGGGTGGAATCACGAACGGTCTTAAGTGAAAAACATTTATAGTTGCAGTAATGTTGATTATTTATTCGGCGTTAAAGACATTTGAAATTTCATCTCTAATGACACTTTTTAGTTAGTGATAGAAATGGGACAGTTAAATGTAAAAAATATTTCATAAATTCTATCAATTATTTTATAATATTATTGTTTTTTCCATTATCTTTACCTAGCTACTAGAAGACTATTTATTTATTTTCTTAAATTTTTGTCATTTTCTCTTATTTTATTTTAAATAAATTAGTTAAATATGTTGCTAGGTACGGGTAAAGATAAGGTGTGATTAAATAACATTTTTATAATTTTATTTTTTATGAAATTAATTTTTCTTATTTTCGAATTTATTTTTCTCGAGAAAATATTTTTCGGACCATTTATTCTCTCCGCAACTCCCCCGAACTCTGCTCCTCTTCCCATGCACGTCCACTCCCTCTGCTTCACTCACTCTGATTTTTTTCTTCACACAAATTCAAAAGCTTTTTGCAAATTTGACAAATGAATCTGACTGAGAATAGAAATTTAAAGTGATATTTGATTACATGGATGGAATCAAAGACTATAAGGTACATGGATTGGATCATAATCCGAGTTGCACACAACCTGCTCGAGAAAAGGTTTATCACAAGGGGACGACACATAATGTCATTCAAAACAATAATGATGGCTCGTTACGAGAAGAAGAAGGATTATACAATGATGGAGAAGGTTCCCATTTGGTTAATCGAAAGGTTGAAGGCGTTGGGGTTGTAGCGGATGGTTTAGATGATAATCGTCATCATCAATCGCCTTTGGCGGAGTTTGAAGGAACAGGTGGTGGAGTAGGAAGCTTTAAAGTACCAGCTCGTGCGCCTCTGCATCCTGCCCGTCCAACTTACCTTGAGATCAGGCCACATCCCCTCAAAGAAACACAGGTGATGAAAAATGCGTATTTGTTTCATCATTGACGAGTTTTTAATGAACGAAATATGGAGTAAATGTGGGGACTATTTTATTGTTTATTAATCGGCATAATACATAAATATGATCCTTAACTTGACTTCAACAGACAACTATGCCCTCCAACTTTGAGTGTTCACAAGTAGATACTTAAACATGAATAAAATTAAACAAGTAGACACACATGTCCTACATGACTAATACACGTAGGACGCCATGCAGGATGTCATGTAGGACGAATGTGTCTATTTGCTCAATTTTATACAAGTTTAATTGTCTACTTGTGCACACCAAAAGTTAAAGGTCATAGTTGCGAATTGACACCAAGTTAAGGGTTATGTTTATATATTATGCCTTTATTAATCTATCTCACATGCAGTAATGGTATTAGGAGGAAGACGGGGTTTATTTTCTTTTGAAAATGGTAATGTAAGTGTTCTGTTTTCATTTTTTTTAGCATTAAGGTTAATAACAAGATAAGAATGTTGGTTAAAACCTATATATGTTGCTCAAAGTCTCCAAATATGATGACACACCCGTATCCAATCCTCTATTTGGAGGGACCCGACATGCACCCTTTGGCATTTTTTAAAAGCCCAAGCAAGGTTAAGATAAGTGATATGGGGGAAGAGTTAGAAATACTTGTAAAATAAAAATGACATCCATGAGATTTGTTAGCTTTTTTCTAGTGCTGGTGGGAGGTAGCTTCGTGGAATTAGTCGAAGTGAATGGAAGTTGGCATGTACACTATGACAACATACCTATTGTAGTCCTACAAGTGAGGTCTGGGATGTATGCAGATTGTTTCCGATAGACCCTCAGCTCAAAGGAGAAGTTTCCGAAGCATGAAAAATTAATGGCATCCACTCATGTGATAAAATATTATCTTCTTAGCGAAAAAAATTTTCTTTGGAGAAAACACTTTGGAAGTGCTAGAATGACTTCTTCAGGAAACATCACACCAAAAACAACTAATGAACTATGTTTGTTTGTAGAAATAATGCATACTACATGCCCTTCTACTTGGCTTCAGTTGGCATCTACACCCTCCAACTTTCAGTGTGCACAAATAAATACTTTAACTTGAATAATAGGCACATTCGTCATATGTGCGTCCCACATGACAATTTTGTGTTCTATATGGCATCTTACATGTATTATGCCACTTAGGATATGCGTATCTACTCGTTCAATTTTATACAAGTTTAGGTGCCTACTTGTGCACACCCAATGTTCGAGGGCATAGATGCTAGTTGAAACCAAGTTATAGGGCTTATTTTAAGTATTATTCCTAAAAACGGAGGTACACATGTTGGAAGCACAGTTTTTGAATGTACAAAAAAGAAGTTGGAAATAAATCGAACAATATTTGGATATGGATAGGATGTATTTGATGAGTTATGCATGAGCTACTGTAGTTTTTTCTCTTTATTATCCTTTCACAGTTTCCTTTCAAATTTTAAACAATAATGCAGGTTGGGAAATTTTTGAGGACCATTGTTTGTTCCGAGACACAATTATGGGCGGGACAAGAATCTGGTGTAAGAGTGTGGAATTTTTCAGATCAATATGAGTGTGGGATAGGAATTGGTGGACGGGCAAGGAGAGGGGATGAGGACGCAGCACCATTTTACGAGTCAGCTGATATATCACCAACATTATGCTTGATGTTTGATTCTGGAAATAAATTAATCTGGAGTGGACATAAGGATGGCAAGATCAGGTCTTGGAGAACAGACCAGCCTAATTCTGATGACTCCCCTTTCAAGGAAGGTCTCTCCTGGAATGCTCATCGTGGTCCCGTTCTTTCATTGATGCTATCTTCTTATGGTAATATCTGAATTTTCCTTGATTATGATCCTACAGTTTTTTCATTCTGATCACCCTGTTGAAATTCTTGTTAGCTTACGTTTCAGTGGAAGAAGTGGTCTTGTCGATTTAATTATCTTAAGGTTGAGATATGTCGGTGCATCTTAAGGTTGCTAAGACTTCCAACCCTTAGAATATAAATCTTGTTTTGGGTAAGAGGATCTTACTTGTTTGTCAACATATGATCTTTCTTTCCTAGTAACAAGGAAAATTGATCAAGATACTAATGTGGTTGCAACGTGTTTTGAAGATATAAGTTGCACAATTCAAAGAGTCAAGATGAATTATACATCACTATTTCATTTTTGTTGTAACGCAAGCTATGTAGATGAAGCTGAAAAATTGCTAGAGTTTCCGAAGTCCTTGTGAGATGAACAAGGGAATAAATTTTGTTTTTTTTTGGAATTCTAGTTTGGCTCACAGTACAGCCTTTGTGCTGCTGATTAATACAGTTATTTTCCTAAAAAAAATAAAAATAAAAATAAAGAAGTGTGCTTGCTATGGATCGTAGCGGTCCAAAGGTATCTCCAATGATTTGCATAACCGTGCTTCAAGTCATAACAATAGCAAGAAACGTAAATACACAGTTTTATAATGCTGCATTTGAAGTGACATATCCAGGTTACAACTTGGACGTTTCTGTCACTTTAGCTTAAACCCATAAATCCATGTCTGCCTCGTTTCGCATTGATTGATCTTAACACTTTGTGCTTCAAAGTTCTATTGTTATATTCTCTTTCTGTCTCTGTGAATACCTCCCTAACTTATCTTTAATTTTGCTCCCTGATAGTGTTCAAAAGAACGATTTATCATGACTACTCTCTTCTTGGTCCAGGTGATATATGGTCTGGATTTGAAGGCGGTATTATAAAGGTTTGGCCATGGGAAGCAGTGCAGAAGTCTCTCTCTCTATCATCAGATGAAACACATATTGCTTCTTTACTTGTGGAAAGGTCACTTGTTAACCTTAGAAGCCAAGTTACAGTTAATGGTGCATGTAGCATCTCATCTTCTGATGTGAAGTGTTTGCTCTCTGATCATGTAAGAGCAAAAGTGTGGGCATCGGGATCTTTATCCTTCTCGTTATGGTATGTTTTTTCCAGATGAATATGACGTATGCATTTGTTCTATGTTAATACATAAAAGAAGAGGTAAGAGTTGAGGCTTTATTTTTTGATAATTGCCTAGCCACTAATTACTCTGATAGTTCGAAAACTGCAGGGATGCACGAACCAGGGAACTCCTGAAAGTGTATAATGTAGATGGTCAGATTGAAAATGGGGTTGATATGTCATCTGTGCCAGACCAAGCTGTGGAAGATGAGAGTAATGTCAAGTCTGTCACCAAATCTAAAAAAGAAAAGTCACAAGGAGGTAACTTTTTCCAGCGTTCACGCAATGCTATAATGGGAGCTGCCGGTGCTGTACGTCGAGTTGCAACAAAGGGGTCAGGAGCATCTTCAGAAGATAGTAAGAAAACAGAAGCCCTTGTGCTTTCATCTGATGGAATGATTTGGAGTGGATGTTCAAATGGCTTACTTGTGCAGTGGGATGGGAATGGAAACCGTTTGCAAGATTTCCATCATCATCCTTGTGCTGTTCTATGCTTATGTGCTCATGGTTCTCGAATATGGGTTGGCTATATAAGTGGTATGGTACAGGTCCTGGACCTTGAAGGGAACTTGGTAGCTAATTGGGTTGCTCATACCGATCCTGTAATAAAAATGGCAATTGGGGGTGATTATGTTTTTAGCTTGGCTAATCACGGAGGTATACGTGGATGGACCCTTGCCACTCCAGGACCTATTGATCAA